TACGACGAAAATCGGATGCAGTATGAATCCAGCATAACCATAAATTAACCAGAAAATAAAAATTGGGCCTAATGTTTATATAGTTCAAGCTAGAGCTGTTCATGCTACTTTTGACTCGCTTTTGCACACAAATACACAATGCGGCAACACTTTTCGCGCGATGGAAATTGAGCTATAAGGCCGGAATCAGACTACGCATTGAAGATTGAAATTTGACCAATAAGGACAAAGAAATTTTTGCTCCTTTCGTTTCGATTGGTCAAATTTGAATTTTTCAATCTTCAATCTCAATCTTCAATGAGTAGTCTGATTCCGGCCTGACGCCTGTTTTTTTTTGGCTGAACTTTTGCACCAGTTCATCTTTCTACTTTTTCTCTCCAGGAGAAAAGAAGAGGAAGAAAGATGAACTGGTGCAAAAGTTCAGCCAAAAAGAACAGGCCTAGTCATTCAGTACTGTTCAGTACTACATTTAGCACTCAGTGAGCTCGAATCTTTTGCATTTGATTGGCATATATATTCTATTAGATAAAAAAAAATAAACCAAACACAAGTGCAAGAGCTCACTAAGCGCTCAGTGAGCAGTTGTAATACTGAATGCACGTCCATTTAGTTTATCGCTTTTCCTTAAAAGCGAAAGAATGATATTTTGGTATATCTAGATAGACTTTGGTCTATCTACTGCGCTAACTTCTGTTGCACGGCAAGCGTTAAGCCGGAATCAGACTACGCATTGAATATTGAGATTGAAGATTGAAAGATTGAAATTTGACCAATCAAAACAATAGGAGCTAAAATTCTTTTGTCCTCACTGGTCAAATTTTAATCTTCAATCTTCAATCTCAATCTTCAATGCGTAGTCTGATTCGGGCCTTACAAGCGTTACCGTGTCCTATCTGAGCCATTTGATATTATGGGCGTTTTAAAACTCTAGATATACCAAAATATCATAAAGATCTTCCATTTTTTACCTAATAACCGTATCATATTTAAAAACTTATTATAATGATAATACTAAACACTTATATTTGCGACCACCAAGTAAAAAATGGCGATAAAAAATATAGGAAAGATGTCAGCATTTTAGCTTAGATAAAAGGATTGCGTATTTGGTATATCTAGAGCTTTAGCGCGTTCAGAAAATTAGCGCCAAAAATTATTAAAATCTATAAAATAGTTTATACAATAAGATCAGTGCACAGATCTTCGTATAACGCATAAAACTGATTCTATGTTAGGCCGGAATCAGACTAGGCATTGAAGATTGAGATTGAAGATTGAAAGATTGAA